GAGTGTTTCATTATACCTACGCTAAATATAAGGTTGTTTTTACGATTTTGAAAGTGCTTATCTACCAATAGGAGTTGAAATTGGAAAAATTATCAATTTGTTAATAAAAATTCTTGCTAGAGGGCAGACAAGCTTTTCGAAATGAAAATAGCCCTTAAATTAATAAAAGAATAGGTATGGCCTGAAAACAGCTATATTAAATAATAAAATTAATAATTTAACTGAATGTCTGTTCCAATGAAGAGAAAAATTGAGGCAGTAGAAGAAACTATGTTATATTTTTACATTAGATCAACTGAATTAGCCATCCATCAGTTACCTCAGAATTTAAGTAAAAATTTCATTATCTAATTCAAACAATCTAAAATAAGAGGTAAATGCCAGCTTTTTTTAAAGAATTTTTAATGATAGTATTTGGAATAAGATTGCTTTGTAAGATTTTAATGAACTAAAGTATTTCTTCTTGGAGGAGGTCTGCATTATTACAGATTCTTTTAATTGCAGAATTTGTGCATTAATGGTATTGCTAATGACTTTTTTTAGAAATATTAGAAAACCAGTTTGTAAGTTTTAGTGTATGAAAATTGAAGTCTCTGCATTTGTCAAATATTTTAATAAGCTTGTAATTAAGAATTTGAAGATCTAGGTAAACAATATCATCTTGAACTGCATTAGTGGCATTAAGTTTAAGGCAAGTAGGGTAATATTTGCATTTTTTAGTCTGTTAAGTACTAGAATATTTGCCTTTTCTAGTACATCATCAATATACCTAAACATGTGTTCACAATATTTTCATTCTTCAAGATCAAATGAACGTACAAACTTAAATTCTTGTGTGAAAAGGAATAACCAATATATATAAAATTTTGCAGCTCAATCCGCAAAATTCTTGACCACTTAGGTCTCTCTAATTCATGTTGTCTTGCTGCTTTAAATATATATATATTTAACAAACATTCTCAATTCATAAAAGCAAATTTAAATTAATTAAATTTTAAGCAATGAAATTTAATAGCAAACAAATAAATGATTATTCTAATTTTCCTTACTTTGGGCCAGTATTTAGTAAAGTTTTGATTAAGCCTATTGAAATTCAGTTTTAATAAATTAAGACTTACAATAAATTTTAAAAAAAATTTATTTTTTTTTAAATTAAAATTAAATTTATTTGATTTTACTTCAAAAATTTTTTCGTACTTTATTTCAAAAACATTTTTATTTTTTTACAATCCTTAATAGTTTGCAACCATTTTTTCACATAACATCACATTTTTACAATACTTCACAGTTAGCAACATTTTTGCAACAGAACACATTTTACATTACTTAAAAGTTTACAGAATAGGTTTTTAAAACAGCAGCTTAACACTCAACCTTGTATTTATAAAGTTAGCAGAAACACACTACTTAACATCACTTAGTTTGGGAAATGCACCTCCACTCTCCAAGTTGGTAAGTTAAATTAAAACTTACTCGTTACTTGCCTTTTTAGTACTATTTATGTATTTTTATAGATAATATCTAGTTTCTTTTTTATTTATATGCATAATTTGTGTCAGGGAAGTTTTCTGTAGGCAAGAGTTTCTAAATTACTTTGGTTTTTCTGAAAAATTTGGTTTTCTACTCTTAATTGACCTTTTTTCAATTTTAATTCTAGTCATTTACTTGCTAATTTCTCAAATTCCACTTGTTTAAATTTCCTTTTAGTAATTCACAACATTTGGTTTTACTTTTGGTTTTGACTTTTAACCCTTGCCTATATGGATGATGAAACACGAATTGAATTATTGAAGAGTTAGGTTTGGAAGTAACTTCCCCTTGATAAGTCTGTCTCCAACCTGCTCAACAATTATTCACTTATGCATTTTTATTAATTTGTAAGAATTAAAAATTTTTTGGAATTATATATTTATTCTTAGATTTTGATACTTGCACTTGATTTACATGTGCTCTGAGAATTTAAATGACATTGTAGATTAGTTCACAGCAATAATTAATTGTTTATTTGTTTGCAATTAAATTTCACTGTTTAAAATTTAATTAACTTTAAATTTGCTTTTACGAATTGAGAATGTTTGTTAAATTCAAATTTCATTCCTTGCGGCAATGGCGCAAAATAATTATTTAAATTTGATTTAACATTTATTCTTTTTGAAACATTATAAATATAATATTGAATGAACAATATATATACACTGCTTGACATTGAAAATACAACACCAAGAAGGAGTGGTCAGAAAGTGATGAAATTTGGAAAAAAGAGAGAGACAGCAAGCAGCAATAAGTGATCTTTATTTCAAAATGATAGTCAGAATACAGAGCGAGAACGGTGTCGGCTCAATAGGGTGTAGGACCACAGCAGACAGCTATGCATGAAAAAACACGTCTAGGCATAGAGTCAATAAGAGTGCAGATGGTGTCCTGAGGGACGGCTCTCCATTCCCTTTCAAGCATTTGCCACAGTTAGTCTTCTGAACGAGGCAGGGGCAGAGTCTGCAAACGGCGTCCAATGACATCCCACACATGTTTGATTGGTGACAGGTCAGGAGAGTGGCCAGGAAAGTATCTGCATACCTTGCAGAGCATGTTGGCAGATGCGAGCACTATCTGGTCGGGCGTTATCCTGCTGAACAATTGCATTAGGCAGCCCCTGAAGGTAAGAGATTGCAACCAGCCACAGTACATTATCCAAGTATCGTTGGGTCGTCATAGTGCTCTGAAAACAAACTAGAGGTGACCTGGAATCGTAGGCAAGAGTGCCCCAAACCATTATGTCACGTCGTTGTGCGGTGGGGGATTCGACAGTTACTGCCGGATTAGATCTGTCTCCACGTCAATGCCACACACATATGTGGCAACTGTCACTGGATAAACAGAAGCTGTTTACGTGTTTCATCTCAGAACACGACATTTTGCCATTCTGTCATCCACATCGCTCCAGTCCGGCACTATTCTAAACGTTGGCGTCTACGCTGTGGGGTCAATGGCAGTCTTCTTAACGGACGCTGTGAGTTCAGGCCACGTTCAACCAATGGACGGGAAATGGTTCTGATCAACCCGGAAATATGAAGGGTATCTTGCACATGCTGCAGAATAGCGGTACAAGTGACTTGCGGGACCACCACAACTTGTGAGTGGATGCGTCAATCCATGCGTGCTGACGTCACTCTGGCTGCACCTGCACCCCTCCTTCTTTACACATTTTCTTGTTCCAACCATGTTCATCATAGTCAATGCACTGTGCTCGCATCCATGTGGGTATCAGCTGAGATTTGACGTAAGGACAAACCCGCCCTTCTCATTCTGATCACCATATCCCTCATAAAATCTATCTGCTGGAAGTGCTTTTGTTGATGGTGGCCTGGCTTTCTCTCCTATTACACATATCCTTCGGGACAAAAACCAACTTTCTTTGATAATTTGTCTGGCAGAAATAACTACACGAATATTACCCGTTCTTCATGTTCCTTCCCTTATATCTTACTTCACGTGCGTCGGAGAGTTGCGCATTTCACATCATTCGCATAACTCAGTGATGTGCATCTACTCTAAAATTTGCATAAATTTCTGACCACTGCTTCTTGGTGTTGCATTTTCAATGTCGAGCAGTGTATATAAGTATTAAGTAACTATATATACATACAGTACAAAGTCCAAAATCCAGATATCCAATATCTGGATTTCTAAAATGATATAATACCCAGACTTCTGGACCACCAGGAAATTTTTTTATAAAAAGGGAGAAAGAATTAGATTCCAACATTAGTGTTTCACTTTAATATATGCTAGAGCATACGTAGTAAACATGTTTTTATAATAAAGTATATGGAGAGTCTCCTAATTCTTAATTTGAGTTTGGCACTAAATAAAACACCTTTGTGTTGAAGAAACATAGTCAGTTATTAGTTTAAATCTATATGATCAATAATTTGCTGGCTCTGTAGCCGACATTTTGCTTGCTCAAACTGAAAACTTCTACCAAAGATTATGGCTGATTTTACCCCTACTGAATAACTTATATCCCTGATGCCAAGTTGGCAATAATTTGTTATTATTTTTGTTTTTATCACCATGTGACTATCAGCTCATATCAACTTGAAAAATGCCTCATGCAGTGATGCCTAAAACACTTTTTTTTTTATAATACTAGAAAATGAACACCAAACAGCATGACAACCTTTTATTTTGTCATGACGCTTGGTGGTGATTACAGACTTTAGCCAACTGCACAGCAAAGGCAAAAAATAGATTTTATAAATGATATTCATATGTCAAATGATTGGTTAAAGTAAATGAGGGAATTTATTTATTTGGGACCCAGATAAGTCTGAAGCATATGTCAGAAACAGATGTAATTATAATAAATAGCTAAACTAATGTAATTCAGACTTAACTTCTACAGTCCATGACAGAAGCAAGACGAAATTTAGCAGAATGTCATCTCTTTATTTGGAAATCCCATAATACATCACCAATAGAGTATAATGTAGCTAAGCATTCAGCTATGTTAAAATGAAACACTGCTTGAAATCTGTTGCATGGTTCTAAATGCAGAAAATATTGCAAGCAAGTGAAGATAAAGAGGTTACTGAGAATGGAAAAAATCACGATTCGCAATTTGGAGAAAATTCCAAAAACGGGCATTACTTCAGTGGGCAATTACAAAAATTTTATAACTGAGAAAGAAATTGTGTTAAGTAACTTAATTACATTGAAAGAAATATTTAATAACATAAACGAATAAATATGAAACCTTTTTTTTTTTCCTTCAAATTTTGATTCCCTTAAAATAAAAAAAATAAAAAAAAAGTTTTACTGTTTCATAAACAGCTATTTCAAACTTTTAATTTTAGAATTTCTACATGTCATCGTATTAGATTTAAAATAAAGATAAAAAAATCCAAAAATTCCAAAATCTGGAACTGTCGAAGTCCTGATGAGTCTGGATCGCAGACTTTGTATTGCATATAGTAAGTACAGCAATTTTGGCTTAAATTTACCTTTTCTACAGCATCATCTACAGACTGAAGAGTTTGTAACCTCTTTGTATGCAGTACATCTGTAAATTTCACATGAATTGGTTCCATTTTACCAGTGTTACGTAATAGCCATTGTTTATCTGGATTAGGTGCAAAATTCCAACTTGGTGTTCTAGAGAGAAATTTCAAAGTTATCTTGTGTGTATATCAATCAACAAATTAATTTAAAGCAATAACAATAGGAAGGAATTGATTTGGAAAATGTCATCTGAATAAAATATCTGATCAATCAAGTTCATAAGAGGGTCTAACAGAAAGGAATAAGAAAACAATACTGTACACAAAAACTGCAATATTATAGAAAATATCCTATTTAGAGAAACATTTTGGAATTAAAAAATCACTCATTGCTAAAAAATGATCACAGTTTATGACAAGTTTTAGTAACAACTGTTGTTACATTAATACTCACCTGTGGGTAGTGACATTTTGAAAAAGGTGTTGAAACTGAGGAGCTGCATCTTCAGGACCATGTGGTGATGGAAAGGATAATACCATCATGACTGGTTTATTAACAAAATGTCTGAAATATTAAAAATTAATCTAGTGCATCCAAGTAATAAAACTTCCTTCATTAAATAATTTCAATACAACAAAAATAAAGAAAATTCTCAGACTTAAGTTTAGATTTTTCTCATTTATCAAGTAAACATAATCATTTTTTTCATTCCTACTCCTGTCTTTTGAACCAGAGCTTATCACAGAGACTCATTTTAAGTAAATAATACACTTTCTGAGATCATATTTTTAGTAACCAGCTGCTGCTTTTTTTTTTTTTTTTTTTTTCTTGATACACTGATTAAAAGCAGAGATATGACAGTTTCTCTGAACAATGCTGAAGAAAAGGAAGTAGATATCCACCATATAAAAGAAGATTATGGGATAAAATTAACAGGCATTATTTTCATTTTATAGATTATCTCTGAACTAGATTATTTTAAGAATTCCAATGTACATCGCTACCCCAATGGAGAATACTTGATCGCTACCCAATTCCTTAGTTTGAAGATTTTCATTATATTTTAGAAAACACAAATATTTTCTCTAAAATTGATTTATTCAAAGTTTATATTCAAAATCTAGTTGCAGATGAAGACAAATGTAAAACAGCTACTGACACTCCTTTTGGTTTGTACGAATTTAATGTAACAAGTTTCAGTTTAAAAAATGCTCCTACAACATTCCAATGATTTATTCATGTAGTCTTTTGAGGATTAGAATTCGTTTTTCCCTATTTAGATGACATACTTATTGCATACAGTACTCATGAAGAACAGGAAAATCATCTTAAATTAGTAGTTTTCATATAGCACATTAGTTAATTAAGAAAAGTTAATTCCATTTACAAACACCTTCAAGTTTTAATACTAATAATTATGCAAAATTAGGTAAAACAACACCCTTATCTTGTTGAAGATTTTGAACAAAACACTATCACTTTTAAGGCTGATACCACACAGGCTCCTCTTCTTCAGGAACCAAAAAAGAAAAAAAAAATCTTCAAAAGAGAAACAATGATGACTGAATATATATATATATATATATAAAGTAAAAAGGAAATTCTTCATATCGGTGTGGGGGGGAATGGGCAAGGCAAACTTAATACATTCATTACCATATTTGGCTTCGATTTAAACACAATTCTCATCATATAAATACAGTCATCAATGCTTTTTCATTAGTGAAGAGGAACTGAATTTGAAATCGATAGCATTTTATCCAAAATCTGTGCTGAGATAAAGCTGCTGTTTTGTTAATTTTTAGTTTTACATTGGCATATTTCTTTTCAAATTTGATGTAATAATTACCTTTTAGATCGACGAAGGAAATTGATACTATCATTAGCTATCAGGTCTGGGTAATAATCCTTGAAGTAATTATCTCCATGTTTGATCTTATTACCATTGACATTGATTGAGTAATTGTAAAATCTTGAATTTCTGATTAAAGCAACCCATTCACGCCAGCCAGGAGGAATATAGGAACCATTGTATTCATTTAAGTATTTCCCAAAATAAGCTGTCAAACAAAAGTATTATTTTTAAGATATGAATAACTCCTTAAACTTTTTCAAAACTCTACAAATACTAAGAGTGGAAATTGTTAACTGTTAAATACATTTTGTAAAATATATTTAAATATTTTTTAATATTATAGATCAGAAATTTGAAAAAAAAAATATTAACAATTAATATTAATGTTATACAAAATGCTGTTAAATTAATTAAATAGTAAGTAAGAGATAAAATTACACAGAATTAATATTCTTCTATAGTGGTAAACTTACTAACAGAGAAGCACAAAATAATATATTTCAATTTTTTTAAATCAAAATAACAAAGTTCGAACATTTTAACAATTTAATGATGTGTGAATTTTGTCATGTTAATTTACTGTTACTTCAATTTTGGTTTAAAAAAAATATATTTCTGCTTTTCTAATAAATTTACCACAGGATATTAATTCTGTATAATTCATCTGTTTCTTGATTATATATAATGGGGGAAAATAAGGTATTAAATATAAAAAACTTTAAAAGTGCTACAATAATGTGTAAATATAAACAAATTAGGTTAAAAAAATCTTTTGGAACTACTCTTATATATTCCCTTGCTTGGCAACAAATTTCTTGCCAAATACTCCACGGTGTTATATTACTATCTAAATTTTTTGTCTACATTTCATGTCTCCAAAAACCATGTTTTGAACACACAACTTAAGCTAAAAAACGAAACAAAAAAAAAAATTAGATAGCAAAAACGTAAAGTTTCTAACCAAAAATATTTGACAAGAATCGATGTACACAGCGATATGTTTTAACTTAAAAAAACATCTACGAATTGCACAATCTAGGCAGCAAAGGAATCTACGAACTATGCACACCTCGCTTTAATAAATTAACATAACAATAAATTTCAAAGAATACCATGTACACAGCATCTACAAATTGCACAATCTAGGCATTGTGTACAACAGAAATTCATAGTAAAAAAACAATGAACATAACATTCTACAAAATAAAAACTATAAAATAAAATGCACTTACCATAATGGATGCTTCTTCGGACAGCAGAACGTAGCTTTAACATGCTGCCGTGCACTCTCTATGGTATTTATATCAGACTCGCTATCCACAAAATTCGGTTACAGCCGAAAACATTGCGGCAAAAACATCGCGGACGAAAACGTCGCGGAGAAAACAACGCAAGGCGAAAACGTTGTGCTAAAAAACATCGTGGGAGAAAACATCGCAGTTCTAAAACATCGTCGTCGAAAATAAAGCGGTTCAAAAACATCGCAGTTTAAAAACATCGTCGTTGAAAATATCGTGGTAAAAAATAAAGTATCTACAAATCATCGCATGACGATAACATCGCAGACATGCTTTTTTCAGGCATGCTTTAATAAGTGTAAATGGATATTCCCATAATGATTTGTGAGCGCAAGATGGAAAGAAGGATAATTTTTACTTTCATATTTTTATTAATTAATAAATTTTTGCTGAGAAAATAAAAAGGAAACTTAAGCATAAAAAATTAATGCAACTTATAGCACTTAATAGAATTTTAAACAGACATAGTTAACTAACAAAGGCCATTAATAAATCATTTTTATAAAGTTTTTACTGGTAATATTTCATGAAAAGTATAATCTAATCTAATAAATAAATCATTTTTATAAGGTTTTTACTGGTAATATTTCATGAAAAGTATAATCTATATAAGTTACATTTAATTTTCTATGCTTAAGTTTCCTTCTTACGTTTTCAGCAAAAATTTATTAGTTAATAAAATATGTGAAAGTAAAATTTATCCTTCTTTACATCACTTGCGCTCACAAATCATTATGGGAATATCCATTTACAGTTATTAAAACCTGAAAAAAAGCATGTCTGCGATGTTATCGTCATGCGATGATTTGTAGATACTTTATTTTTTACCACGATATTTTCGACGGACGATGTTTTTAAACTGCGATGTTTTTGAACCGCTTTATTTTCTACGACGATGTTTTGTACCACGATGTTTTAGAACTGCGATGTTTTCTCCCACGATGTTTTGTAGCACGACGTTTTCACCTTGCGTTGTTTTCTCCGCGACGTTTTCGTCCACGATGTTTTTGCCGCGATGTTATCGGCGGACACCCAAAATTCATACTATGATTCACAAATAAATGTTCAAAACCTTCTTTTCCTAAATCCTTGTAATATCTCCAGCCATCCGAAAATATAGTTGTACAACGCTCAATCCACTCTTTAATACACTGCATCAGCATTTCCTTACTTCTATCATGCACAGCCACTAAAAATAATCTCCCAGACCCTCTTGCAACCACGTCTCTCATTGCAACATAGGCCATTTCAAAACACGCACGACACGAACCAACGAGCAATTAAACCACTCCAGCAAAACAGTTTTCAACGTCAAAAGGATTGCCATACAACACGCAATCGTGCCAAAACCCAGCATGGAACACATATCGCCACATTTGGTGATCTTAGGGCGCATATAAGAGTAGAGCCAATTTTTTAGAACACCCCATAATTAAGAGAATATGCTAAGAAACTATCAAAGCAAACACAAGAAGAAATACAAAAACATTAAAAACAGAAATTTTACCATGTAAAATAAACAACAACAACAAAACAATAATAATTGTGAACAGGATTAAGATAGATAAAATCTTACCCATAGGGATAAAATTTCTTAATTTTAAATCTGTTTCTCTTTTTTTAAACTCTTATTGGATAAATCCAAACTGACAAAAATTGTTAAACATTAAGGTAATTAAACCTAACAATAATTAAAATTCATCCAGAAATAGTTTAACTGCTGAAATGACCAATTTTCATCTTAGTGAAGAGAAAAATAAAAATGTATAGCCTTGCTGATAAAACAAAAAGCTTAAATCATTAAATTTATTATGTAACTGATGATGAATCAGATTACAGATTATGTTATGTTGAATGAGGTTATACAGTCAAAAGTCGTTAATCCGGACTCGTCGGGACTTCGGCGATTCCGGATTATCGATTTTTCCGGATTATAGATCATCAGTTTAAATCTGGTAAGATTAATCTGTCATGCAGAAATTACAAAATTGAAAATATGAAACCGTAATTTATGAAATAAAGAACAATTATGATCTAAAGTGTATCAAAATTTACAAAAAAAAAAAAAAAAAAAAAAAAAAAAAAGCTTAATATTTATTTGTTTACTTTATTAAACATTTCTCTCAATGTAAGTTGTTTAAGTTGCTTCATTTTATGTGATAATACTTTCTCTTTAATTCTATAAAAAGACATAATTTCTTGTTCAGTTACAAAGTTCCGCTGTTCAAGTTCCGTTAATTGCTGTGCCGAGAATACCGACTAACTTGTCAATCGAAATTTTTTCGTTTTCACTAACCTCTCTGTCACATTCTTCATGTCTTTATCCATTTTTTGCAGCAATTCCACTTTTTGTTTGTTGGACATCGAAACATACTTTCGTTTTGTAGATCCTTTGGAAGTTCCAGCATCGGAAATTCTATTTGACATAATCCAAAGTTCAAGTTTACTTTTATAAAATTGCTCTTACAGTCTGCAATAATAAGCGGGATCCAATTTGAAGATTAAGGAACAACGCAATCATTAACATTAACTGAAATAGATAATTTTAGCTTACACCGTCCGTTATACATTAAACGCACAGGCGAAAACGTAATCTGCACTTGCGCACACGCATGTGCGCAGGAGTCAAGGTCTTACGCGCACGCGTAAAACGCCTGTGCACATGTGCCAACGCAGCGCATGCGCAGAAAGTTTTTAGCTTTGAGGTCCGGATTATGGGTGTCCGAATTAACGACTTTTGACTGTACCATGATATGCTGGAAGGCTTTATTATTGAGGGCCACTTGTAATCTCATGCGTAAAAGGGATGTGATCCTGTAATGCCATTCAACATTCAATTTATTATTAAATTGATGATGAATGAGATTACAGATTATGTAGTATTGAATGAGTTTACAGAACATACCATGATATGCTAAAAGGTCTTACTACTACAGGTAAAATCTTAGGAACTGCTACGGTGTGTGTGTTACAAAACAGGAAAACTACCTTACATGCAAGATGGAAGACCATTCCAAATTAGATGTGTTGTGAAGCAGTTGCTGCAACAAATGTCCCTAGTGTTGTTTTCATTCAAATGGTGAAATGTTTCATTCAAATATACATATCAAACAATCTAATAACTCTTTTTAATTACTTATAATATTTCCTAAACTTATAATACAGCAGCTATACTTTTATATAGATATAGTACAGATTTAAATTATACAAAAAGATCCGGATTAACATATCACATATACATATGTATGATTTCATTTTAGGGTTGAATACAGAAGTATACCTGTTCTGTATCCAGCATTGTTTAAGTAAGTAGCAAATGTTTTTGTCTCATGTTCCTGTTGCCACCAAGGAGAACTGCAGTTATCATTGTTTGTGTGAACTTGATGATTATGTACGTATAAACCAGTTAAGAGAGAACTACGAGATGGGCAACACATCGGTGTTGTAACATAAGCATTGGAAAAATGAGCTCCTCCATCTGCAAGGATCCTTAGTGTCTTTGGCATAAAATTCATTGATCCTATGAAAAATTCATCATTAAATCTGTGAATTTAGATATCGTAATGCATACCGAATACTGTAAGTACAGCTATAATTATATTTAAAAAATCATACAGGAAAAAAAAAATGTTCAAAAGAACATGTATACACTTAAAATTCAATGATTTACTGAAGAATAGGAAGATTAATATACTTTTAACCAAACTGCAGGAGGAGCCAAAACAAAAAATATTATTGATTTTAAACCTAATATTTTTCAGAATTATATATGCATGCTGAATTCATTTAGCAATGAAATCTATTAATAACAATAAGTTTCTCTAAGGAAAAGTTTTGGAGAATCTTAATAGTAATAGGAATCCATTTATCATGTCAAGTTTAAGTTTCTCAAAGGAAAAGTTCTGGAGAATCTTAATAATTGGAATCCATTTATCATTTCAAGTTATCAAAATAAGTCAAAAATATCACAAGCAAAGCAATTACAGTACAAAGTCCGTAATCCAAACTCGTCGGGACTTCGGCGATTCCGAATTAAGGGTTTTTCCGGATTTTAGATCATCAATTTAAATCTGGTAAGATTGCATGCAGTAATTATACAATTAAAAATATGAAACCATAATTTATGAAATAAAGAGCAATTATGATCTAAAGGGGGTAAAATCCTAGTATATGGTGCATGCTTGGCGCGACTTTGAAAATTATTGCCAACACCAAAAATGATCCAAAGAACGTCTATATATATATATACTATACACACATAGTATATGTATATACACACATAGTATATATACTATATACATAGTATATGCTATGTTTAACTGTATATTTTCTTTGAATGGCCCGTTAACTACTCATCGTATATGTCCCGTTTTTACTGCTCATCATAAAGTCGCCAAAAAGTAGCCAAATCCCGTTTGCACCAGATACTAGGATTAAACCCTAAAGGGTATCAAAATTTACAAAAAAAAAAAAAAAAAAAAAAAAAACTTAATATTTATTTGTTTACTTTCATTAAATATTTCTTTCAACGCGCGCATGCGTAAAGCATACATTACGCACAGTCCAAATTAGAATATATATATATGATGCAGTCCAAAATACACAAATTTGTAATTATATCAAAATAAAGGGTCGGGTCCCTTCTTTTTACTTTACTCCTTTTAGTTTACATTGAAACATGTCATTAAGAATACTGGAATACAGTTTATCAAAATTCAGATTGAGTTTTTTAACTATTTTTAATTTAATTTTGAAAAATAGGTACTTTTCCGTTTTGCCGGCGCAAGCGATAAAGTCGCCAATAATGGTACAACCCATGCCAAACGAAATATTCTCGCTGGTAACCTTTTACGCCTCATTTTCAAAACAAGTCGCAGCTTTTTCTTATCAGATTGATTGTTTCTTTCAATACTGGCATATCATTACATAGAATTTTTATCAGATAGTTCAGTTTTATGTTTAAGGCAATTTTCGGTAATTAAGTTAATTAGGATGCAATCACAGCACTTACCCGAAGCCGAAAAATATAGAAAAGGTAAAGTCAAGGGTTAAATTCATCACTTCTAATGAGAATGCATTAGCGAAGTAAAGCACTGCAGTTTTACATAATTTCTGAGTAAGCTATTCGTACGAATTGAAATATTTCTTGCATTTAAACTTGTGTTCCAAATTAAGATTTAACTTGAAATTAATGTGGATAATTACTAAGAGCATTACATTTTTGTAGAGTAGTTTACGTGAGATGAGATCGCTTGGGGTCACGTGATATGAACCGGCGAATCAGGATGTTGAACAATGAAAGCATAGTAAATTCTTAATGTCTTTTTACAAATTTGTTGTCTTTATTTATTGGCCTTTATAAAATTTTAAGCGATATTAAAATGTTTATGCCTTCTTTTTTAAAAAGAATTCTTAGAACTAACATTTTTTTAATATTTTTTATGTGTATACAGTATGTTGTCGCCAATAAAGTCTGCTTGGCGAGATTTGCGCCGGCGAAACGGAAAAGTACCGAAAAATAATAATTAACATTTTTATTGTTTAATTCCAATATACAAGAAATTCATAATATTTCAATGGATTTATATTTTTGGGTTTGGTGCTATTCCGTTTTGAGGACCATAAAAAAATTGCCAAACTATTGTTGATACCAGTGCTGCCAAAAATTATTGCGGCAACCCTAACGCAAGAAAGGAAATACTAACTATATAAAGACTATTTTTTTCATTTATATGAAAAGTTAATTTCATATAATACTTTTTTATTATTATAATTTATATAAAAAAGGCTAAACATAACTGAATGGAAGCATAAGAAAGAGTAAATAACTATTTCAGATCACTATTATAATTTATATAAGAAAAGGCTAAACATAACTGAATGGATTCCTGCATCGCTATTTCGTGACCGAGTTATCGCTAAAGCAATTTCCTCTCATTGGTTGTTCAAATATAATTTTCTATAATGAATGATGCCTTTTCTTTGAAAAAATTTTATTGCAGAATTTTCGTCATGGGCTATTCCCAAATCCATAGGATGATTTAAAATCAAAAAAGGATTTAAAAATTAAATTAGTATTTCAATGGTGTCTCTAAACTTACGCAATTTGAATTCAGCGCGTAAGCTAGATTTGGCGCGCTGTTAAATGGGCGCGTTTGCTAGATTTGGCGCTTTTGCGCACACATTTTCGCTGCGATTTTTTACGGTCCTCAAAACGAAATAGTAGTACCTTTGGCGGTAGATGCCCTTATGTCTTTTTATGCAGCTTTTTGCTAGGACTAAAAGTTTTATACAATTATAATCCTATGCTTCTAATATTCTACTATAAAGTACCATTACCCCTGCAAGAACTGGATTGGATTATTTGATCATAGGATCTATATCAAAGAAGAGATGGCTTCGTGGATGACTTTCTAAGGGTTTTGTTATTTAGCTTATAGCAAGGCTCATAAGGATTATCTGCCTGATTCATATTCACACTATATCCACTGAAAATTCTAATATACAAGCAAGTATTTGCTGAGGTCACTACCAATTTTCACTCAGCCAAACTGCCAGTACTTGGCAGTCTTATTTACTGTACAAAAGTAGATCCACTAGAGTAAAAGATAGGGTATTCTGGTCATTCATTGTAAATGAATAATAACTATCTCTCAGACTGCAGCTAATTTGCTAACTATTCATCTAGTTTTATATTTTATATTAGTCACTTTACATACATTTTTGCAGGCAATATAATTTATTTAAAATCTGACAGGACAGAAGAAAGTTTGAATTCTAAAAGTTGACCAATAACTTAAAAATTACAAACTTACCTAATTCAATATCTTGATCATCTGTCAGGATTAAAATTATATTTGGTTTTTTATCTCGCAGGAGTTGAACTTTTTTAATTCTACCCTCTTTTCTAGCATAATTACTACGTGATGAGTACCTACTATGTTCATATTCATATGGCCAATTACTAAAAGGAAATAACACAGTTACTAGTTTGATGTACATTGCAGACTATTGTGAAAAGAAAACACAAATATTTATTTATTTATTTAAATTTTGAATTCAGTACTATTAATATTGTTAAATTCTGAAACATAAATTAATTCTACACATGGGAATAAAATTATTAAACAAAATTATTAGGCATATGCTTTTTGAGAGATGTCACTTTTATGCTAAAAGCACTACTGAATAATATTTTGATTAAGCTCTATCACTATACCACATTGACACATAGGAAGTTGCACAAGCAGTTTTTTGCCTTCTACTATGCATACTAATTAGCAGTATACAAAACATTCATGATCAATTAAATAATTCACTGCATAACTATAGTTCTGCTCCATTCACCAACAGAGAAATTAAAGGGAATATTGACACTGAAGAAAGATTCACAGTGGAAACAGGAGATAATGTACATTCTATGGATCTGGGCATCTGGTTACTATGACATGCATACTTTAAGATAAGTTCGTTGTAGTCTATTTAGTATAACAATTATATATAATAAATATACGAGCATAATGATGAAGGATCAGGATAAAATTTAAAATTAACTATTAGTAAACTGCACTATTTAGATCATGTAAGGAAAAAAAATCCCGACTTGAAAAATTTACAAATGTTTAAGCACTAAATCTGCACTATTTAGATCAAGCAAGAAAAAAAATCTTAACTTGAATAAAAATTCATATATTTAAGCCCTTTCTACACACTTTATGAATCTATAAATTTATTAATCTAGATAAGGAAATTTACAGTGTATTAAACATGTAAAAAAGAAATAAATCCAATGTTACTATGATTACAGCTTCAAAGAGACTTAAATAAAAGCTGCTTTTATCCAAATATATATATTTTCAAAAATTTCTTGGAAAAAAAAGGAAAGCTTCCAAAAGACCTCAAACCAAACAAGGTCATCATTTAATATGTTTTTAACATTGAAAAATGTGTTTCATTACTTTATGGTCAAAACTGATATCAGAAAGAAATTTCACCTATAGTTGTTGTATTAAATCAATGCCTGCAAATGCAATTTTTTAAATTATAATAGTTTTCTCAACTATTGTACATTCATGCTTTATGTACCTACATAAGGTCACCCAGATGATTCTTGGTTGAAATTTATACAACCCAATTACTACATATTAAAGATATGCTTACAATTTTGGCATACAATAAGCATCTTTAAAAATTAATATGACACAATTTTTAATTCACTCTAAATACTATGAGTAACCTGAATAATTGTAATTTTTCAGTGACCAATGTTTTAAAAGTGGTCAGCATACTTTTTGGTAAAAAGACAACATATAGTGATTAATTTCTCATAAACATATTAAAATAATTAGATAAAATTACATAAAGTTCCTTTTTTTTTCGATTTCATAATTAGATAAAAATTAAATAATTAGGTGATTTCATAATTAGGTTAAAATTTGCGTATTAATACCAATTTGGTACTTTTCCGTTTTGCCGGCGCAGGCGATAAAATCGCCAGTAATGGTACAACTGATGCCAAACTGAAGTACCATTTTGGTACTTTTCCGTTTTGCCGGCGCAGGCGATAAAATCGCCAGTTATGGTACAACTGATGCCAAACTGAATATCCTCGCTGGTAACCTTTTACGCCTCATTTTCAAAACAATTTGCAGCCATTTCTTATCACGTTTATTGTTTCTTTCAATACTGGCATACAATTGCATAGAATTTTTACCAGATAGTTCAATTTTATGCCCTAAGGACATTCGCAGATTTTGACACCGCTCACCCGAAGGCGAAAATATAGAAAAGCAAAGTTAAGGGGTTAAATTCATCAATTTTAATGAGAATGCAATAGCGAAGTAAAGCACTGCGGTTTTACATAATATCTGGGTAAGCTATGCGTACGAATTTAAACAATTCTTGCATTTAAAGTTGTACTCAAATTAAGATTTAACTTGAAATTAAGGTACTATTCGGTTTCGAGGGCCGTAAAAAATCGCCAAACTATTGTTGATGCCAGTGCTGCCAAAAATAATTGCGGCAACCCTAACGCAAGAAACGAATATAATAGTAAATAAAATATGTAACATTGAATATTTTAATCTAGATGAAAGGTTAATTTCATATAATACTTTTTTATTATTATAATTTAATGAAAAAGACTAAACATGACTGAATGGAAGCATAAGAGTAAATAACTATTTCAGATAATTATTAAAATTATATAAAATGCTAAACATAACTGAATGGATGCCTGCATCGCTATTCGCTACCGACTTATCGCTAAAGCATAATTTCATTTCGTTGGTTGTTCAAATGTAATTTTCTAAATGAATGATGCCTTCTTTGAAAATATTCTCGGTAAAGTGCAAAATCGCTCACTTATTTGTTGCCGCTTTTTACAAGGGTAAAAACAAATGGATTTTGTCAATTTTCTTTTACTTTTTAAGTGAAAATAGGTCGATGTGTACATAGATAAAGCCAAGGGTGTGCGCAGTGCCATTTTTGTGCAATTCTGGGATTTTTTTTTTTTAAAGTGAAAATAGGTCGATGTGCACATGGATGTCGAGTATGTGCAATTCTTAAAAACGCGTCAAGCAGTGGGTGATTCTGCACTTTACACAAAATTCTATTGCCGACTTTTCGTCATGGGCAATTCTCAAATTGTTAAATCAACAGGATATTAAAAAAATATTTAAAATCAAAAAAGGATTTAAAAATTAAACTAGTATTCAATGGCGTCTTAAGAAATATAGAACTATATAACCTGAAATCAGCGCGTACGCTAGATTTGGCGCGCCGTTGTTTAAATGGGCGGTTGTTTGCTAGATTTGGCGCTTTTGCGCATACATTTTCGCTGCAATTGTTTACGGTCCTCAAAACGGAACAGTACCGAAATGGTAGTAGATAATTAATGAGAGAATTATATTTTTGTAGCGTAGTTTATGAGATGAGATCACTTAGGATCACGTGATATGAAACGGCGATTAGGATGTTGAACCATGAAAGCAAAGTAATTCTTAAAATGTCTTTTTACAAATTTAGTCTTATTTATTGCAGTTTTACAAAATTTTAGACGATATTAAAATGTTTCTGCCTTCAAAATAAAAAATATTAGAATTAACATTTGCTAACATTTTTTATGTATGTACTGTATGTTGTCGCCACTAAAGTCTGCGTGGCGAGATTTGCGCCAGCGAAACGGGAAAAGTACCAAAATGTTATTTGATATGATAGATTAATTTTTATACTTTACCAAATCGAAACATTCATATTATATCTAAAGCTTCAACTAAAATATTAAATATTTTGGCGGTACTTACGTATTACCGCAACCGGGCCAAAATTCGCATAAATTGCCAAATTTGGCGACCCTACTTACGGCACCCTACGTTTATACGAGTTTTGTAAAAAGGCATGTGGAGATTCACAAAATTTTCCTGCATTTTCGTGCCAAATTTTTGTAATTTATGAGAAATAGCAGTGTAGATTGATAAAGTCAAGAGTGTGCGCAATGCCATTTTGTGCAATTGGGATGTTTTTTTTTAAGTAAAAATAAATCGACGTGTACATGGTTATGGCGAATACGTTTTCAATCAGTGCTAAAGCAATAGCAAAAGATTTCCGCCGAAAAATAATCTGCAACTTATTCAAATTCGACCGGAAGGTTTAATTTATTTTATTTTTAAAACAAATAATATAAAAAACTGCATTAAAATTATGTGTAATTAATAAATGTACATTTTCTTTCTATTCCTACTTTTTTACTCAAACTTACAAATCGCGCCAACCTGGTTGCGATAATACGTAAGTACCATTTTGGCATTACCTGCATCAGCAACTTTTTTTATTCCCTTCCCCCCCTCTACTCTAAGACTTATCCCATTTTCTTTACTTGAAGTTATTTATTTATTTTTTTAACATATCTCCAAAGTAATTTATGAAAGAACTGAACTAAGCTTACTAGGTCATTTGCTTACTAAGTCTTCAAAGCAAAAGTAAAAATATGGATGAAAGGCAGATGTTAGACTTTCATCTTAAGAACTTGGAAATGAAAAATTTATGTTGAAACTGATATATTAGAGAATAGCTACTACTCCTGTGAGAGTACAATTTGAAATTGAGAATGGATTGCACATTGCAGTTATAATTAAGAAAAGTATTTTATAGTTAAACTTCAAAGTTGCCATTTAATACCTTTTAGACTGCAAGGTTATAAGAAGTAAAATGTCAAACATAAACACTATAAAATAGTGGATTAGAGACTATTTCATAAACTTGGAGCATAAATTAATGTACTGTGGGTAAATTATTTAATGAAATAATAGGGAAACTAAAAGCTCGCTTTTAGCATTTGAGACAGTGTGCAACTGGGGAAAACAGGAAAAGAAAAATGAAATTTTATGAATGCCAAAGACCACTGCAAAACATGTAAAAATCAATATTAAATGTCACGTTGCAGAAATCTGGCAAGCAAGCTGGGAATTTTTTTTCAAATAAATTTGCAATGCATATCGCAATTATTTATTAAATTTATTAACAACTGAGAAACACAACGCAAATTAACACATTTGAGATATTTCTATAACCTTTCCTTTCACGTTTGACCCTTTTTTTTTTTCTTTCTTTTTTTTTTCTTCTTTTTTCCAATAAAGGGAAGGAGGCACAAGATTGTGAGCAGAAATTACCCAAGCTCATTCTAACTGCTGTAATGCTAATTCATTTTTTCAAAGTTCAATTTCATGGGCAAAAAAAGATAACACTGATGAATAAACGTTTTAAAAAGCCATCAACAAAATAATTATTAGAAATAATATTCTAAAACTTTATGACTGAAAATAACATACTTTGGATAACTACTTGATACATCAGGTAGAAATGAACTTTGCTGTTCTTGATCAGATCTATGCATTCGACTATTTTGGGCTAATGTACATAATAAAATGGTAGAAAAATAAATAAAAAATAATTTGATTACAGAAAGCTCCATTAATATTTCTTCTTTTCAGGTATTCCTTTCAAATTAGCATGATGGAAGAACCTGTTGAAGGAAAAATATATTTAAATAATTACGCAAACAAGCTACTAACATTACAAATAATTTTTAACATAGCTTTAATGAATTTATATATAAAATTAATAAGGCTACTATAGTAGTTCAAAACTTCATGAATCAAATATTGGAATACAGTCGAGTTTCAGAAGTAGGCTTGTCACTTGAACTGGCGTTAAGTGACAACATTGAAGTATTGCCATGAGGCCCCATGAAAAAAACAGCCCATGTTTTGGAAAATTTATTGTTAATCCGTAAGAGATTTGACGTAGGTAAGGGCCCCCTGAGCACTACTACAGTCCAGAGGACCAAGAATTTATTATGATGGCCTTAAAGCTAAACCTCCTACGTAATGTCATTTTAAATACAGTTATTTTGGATAGCATGGCAACAATTGCGAAAATTTTGCATACAGCTGATACAGCTCTATAAAATGTCTTGTCTTATAGAACTCTACAGAAATTCTTTCAGCCTCTATACAAATTTTTCTTAAGGAAAATATGTGAGTTTCAGAGTAGAAGTTGCAGTGGAAATCCATTCCATTCCATTTACCGCTGTTATACTGGGCCTAGCCGGCGTGAATTTGCAGGCTTTTTGCCAGTTGTCTTCTAATATGGCATCCTGGAAGTAAGAACATCAGCAAAAGGTGTCACAGAAACAAGATGTGAAAAATAAATATAGTGGAAATTTTACGAAGCTATGCTTTTGAAGTGAAATTTCGTTATCATGGCAATGAAAGTGCAATTTTATTTACAAGTTTTTGTGCACATTGTTATCTCATTCAGCCATTTTGGAGTAGGATTCGAAACTGGAAAATTAAGTTTAAGAAAAATTCTCTCCTCAGTTTCAAAAAATTATTATTTAATAGTAAATCGAATGAACAATGGATGCAGCATGAGCGTAGAAAAACATCACTTATTACTACTTTGTATTCCCCATATTCTACATCAGTGGTCTTCAAACTGTGTTCCGCAGTACTCCGGAATTCGGAATTCCGAGAGTAAAATAAAAATTCAAAAAGAAAATTATGAAGCACTCACACTAGTTCAGTAATGCTTACTAACTAAACATAAACATACATTTAACCATCTTTGAAATATAATGCAAGGGTAAGTGGCACCTGGTGCACGAGTTAATGAGTAAATTTATATTAATGTTATGTTAAAATATTTTAATTAAAAATACAGAATTTTTATTTAATTGTCTTAACACAAAAACATACCGATCTAAGGGTAAGACAGTATTTCCCGAAAAAACCTCATAGTTTTAAGGTTTCCGAGAATTGATAAATTTTGAAAACCACTGTTCTACATCAACTAACACATTATAAAATCACTTTTTAATTATTTAACTGTCTCATCGGCGGATATTATCAGGAAATTAAGCAATTGTCATTGCTAGAAATAAGACTTAGAAGAAATTAATAATACTGAAAGAAATAAAATTCCAGTTTTAAAAGCATTAAATGAGAAAAACATAGCATACTTATAGCAACCCATATTCACCAGACATGCACATGTGTACATGGGATCACATAGCCCTACATCGAATCCTTATTCTTAACAATTACAATATTACTTGAATTTTATCCGGAAAATGTACCTAGTATTTTAAATGTATTTGAGAAATTTTAAATGTATTTGAGAAACCACGTCTGGCCGGAACAAAAACCAATTGTTTAAATGTTTTAATAAGAAATAGAATCTTTACGTGTATGTTCATAGCAAGGGGAAAAGTAATTGTTATAAATAATTCTATATGAAAAACAATTTAATGAATATTAAAAATATGATCTGTCAGAAATTTATATTTAACACGTGTTCTTAGAAATATTTCATAAATTCCTGGAATCTACACTGCACAGATCCCAAATTCGCATGATTTTAATAATAAACTCGTTGATGAAAAATGGCATTTATATGCCATTCATTCAACCTTTGCATTTTATAGAAAACACAATAATTTCATATAAAAATGAATGCTTTAACTAGTTCAGAAAATAATATTATATAAAAATCATATCTCTTCATTAGCAGATTAAGATTATGGGGGGAGAACATTAATATAGAACGCAATTTAATTTGAAAAAAATCTTTATATATGAAAAATCAGATTTACCTTCAATATATAGACCAAATCTTAAAATGAATTCAACGCTATAGTCTTCAGGGCTAACTGGTTGAGATCGGATTATCAAGAAACGGTAAGTCGTAAGTACATCCTAAAACGATGACATCAAGTCTTCAGCATCCTCTGTATGCTGCGATTATCGGGTATTTTATCTGTTGCTTTCCGGCTGTTGCAAATAAATACTATAAGGGTAGATAACTTTCTGCTCAGTAAATCGCATGAAGGGTCAAGATCGAAAGTAAAATGACATCAAGTCATATTGTGAGAGAATTTTATTACAAGTAAAGAAGTGATTAAAAAAAACTGGAGAAAATGACGGTAATTCTGTAAAGACCAATCAGATGTAATCACGTTTTCCAAAAACGTGAGTCGACCCAAGACCACAAAATTAGAAGTACGTTTCAAAAAAAAAAAAAAAAAAAAAGATTTTTATAAAGTATTACTCGGAGTCCATGAAGTCCTTTACACCTTATTTCCTTATTTTGAGAAATTTTATCACTGAAAATAAACGTCCAGTATAAAAATTAAATGGAATAAGCCCTTATTTTCGAATAGCCCCAAGATATTATATACACGAGTGATATACTTAAATATTAGCAATTAAATAATGAGACTATGGTTAAAAAAAATTGAATTTACAGAAAAACAGTAAACATTTGCTTGAAATAAGATCTTCCTCTGTTAATACATGCAAAGGCCCCCATCAGATAACAAAAGGAAATATTTACAGGGGTCCCTTTTTGATTATGGATCTGATAATCTTTAAGGATCCTATAAATAACCAAGGAAATTTTTCCTTTTGAAAGCGCACAGCTGCATTTATCATCAGCACAGGCCGATACTTCATTGCCCAAGATCAAATACATGACTTTTTTTATCCTTCACTTTTAATATAAAATAAGAAATAATACGTTTTAGCATTAGATTGTCAATAATAACAGAAGTAAAAGTACAATTATTCATTGTTGAAAATTATTTTTTAATTGAATAATTTGATTGGTAACATGTAACTGAGACTAAAAATTAGAAAACAAAAAGTTTTTATGAAATAAGCTCTTATTTAAAGCGGATGAAATAACCAATGCAGCAAAATGAGAAAAACAATTAATTATACATTAATTAATCATTAATTTTAATGGAAACAGGAGATAATTCTCTTTTCAAAATTCACCTACAATTTTATACCATGAATAATAAAAGTATGGACGCTTAAATAATGAAATATAATTACATGGCATTATTAAGGCTAAATTAGATTACTTGATTATAGCAAAACACACAAGGACTATTTGCCCAAGAAAAGGGATTTTTTCATGGAAGACTTTCTAAGGAAAACTACCTCGTATTCACGTTACACACAGGGAAAGCAATTAAAATGAACTCTGCAACCAGTCCCTTCGCTAGTGTTCGAACTTTGATCAAACTACCAGTTTGTTTTATGTGATTACGGCAAAGCCTCAAGGACTATCTGCTTAAAAGGAGGGATGCCTTCGTGGAGGACTTTCTAGGGAAAACTGGCTCCTATACACATGACACATGGGGAAAACCGCGACAACGCCCATGCAGCCAGCCCGTTCGCGAGATCGAACTACCGGAATTCCATAGTCTTAACCACTTGGCCACTGGTGGAAGAACTAACTATATTGCAAAAATTATAATCCACGTTATAAATGTGGTATAGGCTTCCCCCCCCCATTTTTTATGTAATCTATACTCATTGTAATCACTTCACTTCTGTCGGAAAATATATAAACGAGCCTAAAGCAAACATTGTAATACTTTTGATGGCCAGTTTTGGTGAAATTACTTTAGGATGGTCGGAAAATATCAAATCAATTGTTAAATATTATTGCAATAAGTAACTATTCTAATGTTAATATCATAGATGTCCCACGTTTTTATTAATTGTGATATAAAACAGTAAAGGACTTTTTAAAGATAATTATTTAATCTGTTGTTTATATTAAATTTTATATGACAAATTATTTTCCTCTTTTAGTTCATTAATTACTTTATTCATTGCAAGTAAAAGCTTATTTTATAAAAACTTTTTTACAGTATTAAATTCATAACATAAACACATCGAAAAACTTGCGAGTTCTCCAGCCTATATTTGAAATATATTGTCCTTTTTTTTTTTTAAGTACAAAACTATGGGAACTGTTGTTTTGCATAAAATTCATGCACATGAGAATACAAAGATGCATAACCTTTGCAAAAAATACCTTATATTTTGCAAAAGACCTAAATAATGAAAATCCGCTATTTCGAAGCTAGAACTTGGACAGCATTTATACTAAAAAAAAAACGATTAGGACCAGAACTTTTCGTTCTCTAAAGGAGAGATCAACTGTAAAACAGCAAGCTCATGAAATTCATTCTTTCCACTTTCTCTGAATAGCGAAGATTCCAAAATTTCCATCAGAGCACCAGCCTAGAACAGAGTCTAGTCTGACAGCTCTGTCAAGAATTTGAATGGAATCAGAGAACCCATTCACCATTTTTTGATTCAATAGCCGTATACCCCATATGGCGTCCTTAAGATATTGTTAGCATATCCTCATTCTCCTTAGATTTGGGTATTACACCAGTCGTGTGCAGCCTTTGTTTAGAATATAGATAAAAGTGACGGGTGAGGAAAGATAAAAGTTAAATAAGGTGAACGTTAAAACTATGCATTAAGAAACTTCAAACATATATTAGAGAAAAAGAAACACATAAATCCTCTATTGCCCAACAATGTTGGTCAAAGAAGTTATATTTTTATATTTTTCTGCAACCAAAATTATTCCAAAACGTCTTCCATTGGCGAACTACATTTTCTAGAAGTTTTTTGCATTTATAAAAAAATCTTTTAG